GACCTGCCGAGGAGGATTTGGGGGTGTTGGTTGATGAGAAACTGAACATGAGCCGGCTTCAGTGTGCACTCACAGCCCAGAAAGCCAACCGTATCCTGGGCTGCATCAAAAGGAGCGTGACCAGAAGGTTGAAGGAGGTGATCCTGCCCCTCTACTCTGCTCTTGTGAGACCTCACCTGGAGTATTGTGTGCAGTTCTGGTGTCCTCAACATAAAAAGGACATGGAACTGTTGGAACAAATCCAGAGAAGGGCCACGAGGATGATCAGGGGACTGGAGCACCTCCCATATGAAGACAGGCTGAGAAAGTTGAGGCTGTTCAGCCTGGAGAAGAGAAGGCTGCATGGAGACCTCATAGCAGCCTTCCAGTATCTGAAGGGAAGCTATAACGATGCTGGGGAGGGACTCTTCATTAGGGACTGTAGTGACAGGACAAGGGGTAACAGGTTCAAACTTAAACAGGGAAGTTTAGATTAGATATAAGGAAGAAGTTCTTTAAGGGTGGTGAGGCACTGGAATGGGTTGCCCTGGGAGGTTATGCATGCTCCATCCCTGGCGGTGTTCAAGGCCAGGTTGGACGAAGCCTTGGGTGACATGGTTTAGTGTGAGGTGTCCCTGCCCATGGCAGGGGGGTTGGAACTAGATAATCTTAAGGTCTTTTCCAACCCTAACTATTCTATGATTGTATGATCACAGGACCCCTCACACCACCACAGTAATATCCTGTCTTACCTCACACTACTTCACATCACCAGCCAGATTTATGGAATTGAAAACAAGCTTTCATCCCATACTGGGAAAGAGAAGGTACAGTTTGGGTGGCTGACTGAAAAACCTCCAGAAAAAAAACTTTCATTTCAGTCCTGATACAGGGACCAGACCTGACACACAATAAATACTGAGTACAGGGACATCTGGTGAAGCACAATAACAACTGAGTCAAGCATTAAAACCTGCCCTGCACCAAAACTGTTTTCACAACGAAAATGTGTCCAAAAGCAATGTGATTGGGGCTGCCCTGATAGGAAAGAAAAGCCACGAGCCAGTGTGATCCCATGGTGACAGGCCAGTGCAAGCTAAGAACTAAGTTTACAGGCTTTTATTCTTATTTCCAGTTTGCTCAGCTACTAAACCCAGCACCAGGGTCTGAAAGTTTCATACAGTTTAAGTTCAAAAACTACTGCTTACTACAGAAGAACATCTATTCAGTTGTACAGCAGCAAGAGTCTGTTACTACCATCCCTAGTTTTAGCAGTATGTCTCCCAGATATCTTCAGTTTACGTAATGGAACCAAAACAAAGAATCATTCTCAGATTTGTTCATTGTGTTATAAATTCTAAGCAGTTTAATGGCAGTTTCTCTTATAATAGCTTAGCAAACTTTCAACTTTTCTAACATGATTTCTTCACATCTTTTTTTGCAATTGATCTGTTTGCACACACAATTTTTGCTTTTTATGCACAGTGAATTCAAATTTTCTGCATTTTAGAAACTGCAGAGCATTTGTTTTTGTCCAATCAAATACATATTCTTTAACTACCAAAAAAAACAAACCAACAAAAAAAAACAAAAAAAAGCAACATTTTCACAAGCTACCACCTCTTCTGTGTATCTCTTTGCATCTCTCTGATCATGCTCCTCTAACCATTCAGTAATCCATCAGTAATTATAACTTCTTAGCTTCTTTAGCCTAAAAGGGACCAATTTACCACAGACTGTCATGAATCCTGGTTTTAAATTATCAAGAGTCCAATTACCAACAGGAATGAGGATACCTCCTTTCCAAGTGACTGATTTAATGTAAAGCCTTGTAACATTTCACTTTTTAATTAGGTACATCCATATCAAATACAAAAAGCTTCACCTTCATTTTATTTTCTACCCAGAGAATGAAATACAGCAAACATTAATCATACACCAATGTAGTGCCAGACCTAGTAACACTTGCAGCATACTTTGACAACTTCTAATCCATCAGTGTATGATGTCTTTTATTCCTGTTTCACTCCAAACAGTTACTTGAACGTCAAAAATAGACTTACACTTTTTACTTCAAAATATCACTGGGCTCATCTAAAAATATTAAACTAGTTGCAAGTTGAAAAGAAAAACATGATTAATCTAAACAGAAACAGGAAAAAATACCGAGTTTCAGCTGACAGAGGGCCAAGGCTGTCAACACAAATCATTTATCTCCACTAGAATTACTAATTAAATAAGGATGTGACAAACCTGACTTATTTAATTCTTTCACGCCAGGTTTAGAGGTGGTATTGCCATGGAAAGACCCTATCACTGACAGTTGACAGTAGTTTCCTGGGATAGGGTACCTTCCTGATCTACGGTTTCCTCACCTGGGGTAAAGCACTCCTTACTTTGCCATAGGAGCACAAAAGCACTCCTTGCTTTGCCAGAGGGAGCACAAAACCTCTTTGGCAGCTTTCTCTCTCCAGGTGAGGCCTGCTTTAGATGGTGGCTAGGGACTTTTAAACTGCAGAGTACAGGAGATGCAGTAGAGACAACTCACTAGAAGAAGAATTGAAAGCAGCGTTCTTTGAAAAGACTTTATCTTACAGTTCTCTCCCTACATGCACAAACTCAGATGAGACCAGTACTTTCATTTTATAGCATCTTTAAGTGCCTCAGGAGAATTCATACCACACCAAGAAAAGCCCTACTTTCAAACACTGCAATTATTGACCCAGCCTGGAAGTGCTGACATAAGGGAAATAGACCAGGACTCTCGGCAATCCCTTGCGGAAATTCCTCCTACTAATCTGATGGGTGGAAGTGGCATTTCTCTGTCCACCATGGCTCAATACCCTGATTACATCTTTCAGGGATACAGCTTGGAAGGGCAGAACTATTGCATGGATGAGTCAAACAAATCTCGGGTAACTAGCTCATTCAGCACGTGCTCCAGTCTTCCCAGCATTTTTGCATCCCCCTCACATGAAATTCAGTCTAGTCTTACTACATTAGTCATTCTGCATTTTGCTTTTACAGGATTTTTGCCTTTCTCGGTAGAAAAAAAAGACTTTAATTGACAGGATGCTAGGCACAATTAAGAAGCAGCAAAGAGGTTTCCAGCTGGGTGATGAATCAGCCGCATACAGCAGTGCAGGCTTTTTTGCAATCACAGGTAAAAGCGTCCTTGCTACAAGGAATGCAAGCCTACTACAAAAAAAGAAAGGTTTACTAGCTTTTGAAAAGAGATATAAGCCACAGCTATTGTTGAAAACAAGTATACAAAATTTGGAGGGAGTGGAATTTAAGAAAGTTAGGAAGCTTAACATGGAACCTGAATTATATCTTTGTAATTGGCAGGGTACAGATAGTTCTCAAAGCCTTCTTGTAGTAATACTCTTGTTTCCACGCTAGTTACAGAAAAGATCATTTTCAGAAAAAAATAAAACATAAATGAGGGAAACTTGCCTTCTAGGGAAAAGGATAATACTGGAATCTAAAATTCTAACACATTATGAATGACTTCTCATCCTTCAGAAAGTGACAAAAAAAAAAGCTTCAGACACACTGGTACTTCACAGCATGCTGTGTCTAACTTTTATTTTCTTCACCAGATTTATTTAATTACTTTGAATTAAACTAAGTTGACAAAAATCGCAAAACACTAGTTAGTATAGGACTTTTCAGATAGGGATGTAACTTAACCTTAGCACAACTCCACTGACTTGCTGTGAGGTTCCACTAAGAAAGCAACAGTCCATCATCATCATTATTAAATTGTTACATAAAAATAAGAAAGTCCCAGTCCTGTACCGAAGAGTTTAGTCTGTAAGCAGCTGCAGTAATGCTAAACAGTATGATAGTAACAGATATCTTCTACATAAGTTAAAGTAGGAGGGTACTATCTCTATATGGTAAATGGCAGTAAAGTCACAAGCTGAGAAAGAAAAGTAACTTACGGGTAGTGTAACAGATCTTTGCATAAAACCACAGTTCCTTCTCTAGCCCAGACTATCAAAGTCTGCAAGGAGTAAGTGAGAAAGTTGGGCCAAAAGTGTGATGAAGAGTCAAGAAAAGGCAGAAGAGTCAAGACTTCTATTTACTGCAACTGGGCAAATCCCCACATACAAAAAGGTACAGAACTGAAGCAATGAAAAGGCAGAGAAAACACTGGAGCAATTAGAGAGGGAAGACATTTTATAAGCACCAAACAAGAAAGTCTGCTGTGCTTTGGGCTAGGAAGTCAGTGCACAGAAAGTCACAGATCCACTGAGTGGAATACAGCCATCCAGTTTGGCAGTAGGTTAACAAATTAAAACCAAGTTTTTGGCAGGAGCAGATACGCACACTCCAAAATAAGAATATAAAATTAATTAACCTAGAGAAGTTTAACATACAAAATGCATAGAGAAATAAACATCATATAAATTTTTGTAATTACAGACTCATGCATCCTAGCTTTAAACCTATAAATGATAACACAAAGAAAGGCTCAGTCCTACAGACTTTAACCACAATGGGTATCACTACATGGAACTGTTAAGTGTTTCAAATATGGGAGCAGAAGTCTGAAGGCAAAGTCCTCAAGTTAGGAACACAGACACTAACTTCTGGATTATATTCCTGATGGTGGAATATATCCAATAAACGAACTAGATGTCCTTAGAGAATACTTAACATTAGTTCTAGCTTCACTGTGCAGTCACAGGGTATTTGTAAAGTATTACAGAAAGCCCACGACAGATTTTGTCTCCTGACATTTACTGAAAAAAAGGCATTGCTGAAGAAGTCATTTGTGACTAGAAGCAAGAATCAGACTCAGATCCATAGCATCTTACAATGCTATTCATGTTTTAACTACATATTAGAACACTGTTTTGCAACTTTTGGAACCAATGTTGATCAGTCTGGGGATCCTCACCCTCAGTGAAGTCAAGGCTAGCAAGTTATTGCAAGACTGAGCCTCAATCCTTTGCAGTTAACTAAAACAGCTACAGGAACTAGAAGAAAATGTAACTTGTGCGCTACAGCTGTGTGGTACCACAGTAACTCTCAAAACCTTTAGCTTTTATTCTATAGATGTGCAGCATGGTTCTAACCCATCAGCATTTATGACTGATGCATCTGCAGGAAGCTTCTCATGAATGCTGCAAGCTTCTGAACATCTTCTACAGTCACCGCATTGTATAAAGAGGCACGGATTCCTCCCACAGATCTGAATTGAAAACAGAAAAAAAAATAGAAAGGTCTTGTATATTCTGCAAAGAGACATTAATAACATTCACAGACATTTTAACCTACCCCTACTCCAAAGGGGTAAAAATCCACATTTTATGTGAATAAGAAGCAACATTTAAGTCTTCATAGCAAGCCTGCAATTTAGAGAAACTCAGTGCTTTTTAGTTATTTGTAGCCCTAATACTGTAGCTCTATGCCATCAAAAAACTGTTTTTAATCCCACAAACAAAACCGGACATGGGAAGGCGCTCTTGCAACCAGGTAGACAAGGCATACTGAAAAGCTTTATACAATGACAGAATCTGACCTCAAGAGTCACCTTTCTTTGGCATTTGCACAGAGCCAGATTTGCCAAACTGACAGCAGAATTGAGGAGAAAGCTCTCTGAAGCCAACCACACCTCAGCAGTAGCGGAGCCACCAGCAGTCTCTGGTTGCAGTCTCTGGTTACAGTCTCTGGTTACAGTCTCAGACTCTCTCAGACTGCTATTCCTAAATGATGCCAAATCAGTATGAAGAACAGCATGTGGGCAAGAAAGGCTCGTAAGTCAATGCACAAGCCTGCTGCTATATCACTGTAGTAACAGTTTATTCTGCACAGGAAAGGGACTCATCTGGCTCACACTTACCGATGCCCTTTCAGAGATACCATGTTGAGCTCCACAGCTTTCTCAAGAAATTTCTTTTCCAGTGCTTCATCACCCTTGGTACTGCCAATACGGAAAGGGACATTCATTCTGCTTCGGTTCTTTTTCTCAACTGGACATCTAGAAAAGTTGCAGAATGTGATGGTTAATCCATTTTGTGCTAATTTTACATTTTCAGCTACATACACTTTCAGAAAGCAAAATTGCATCTGTTTATCACCAAAGTCATTCCTCCATAGCTGAAAAGTCATTACTTTCTGTGAAAGAAAGCAACCTTCCTCTAAACAAGTATACTAACAGAAACAGCAAGTGGAAGACTTATTAACTCCTGGCATACTGAAAATTGCCCCAGAAGAATGCACAGGAGGCATAATAAAAACCACCACCCCACCCACAACAGTCTCAGTTACATTCCCTAGGGTGAATGAGATTAGGTAAAGTGAATTTTTACTAACTATTAGGCAGTTTCCTCAAAGCTAAAGGAAGTATAAGAAGGAAATTTCCATAGACATTAGGGACTTCTGTTAGTGGCTTCAGTCCACCTTCTACATTAGTATTCAGAATCATGAACATCTCAAGTAGAGATATGCAAAACAAATCTTGCATTGCATACATGGCCACAACATACAAGGTGCATCACAGCTCTTTAATCTCTTAAAATTCCCTTTAATCTACACAAGATACGTTTAAAGCAGAATTTCTCTTCAATTATTTTATGACAGTAAGAATAGGGGGGTAGTGGGGGGTTGTGATTTAATTAGTTTTCTTTACTGCATCTAGTTACACAGGAGATATGAAGCCTCCAGATTTATTCTTTCCTAAGGCTGTGATGTAGTTTCTTACAGGGACTCATTAGGAATAAGTTCTCATAAACCGCATGCAAGTTTCATACCTATTATTATTCTATTTGACAAAGAATGGGTATCATTATTTTTTAGTTCCTCCCTTGGTTCCTTTGTACAAATATATCCATTTTGAAGAGAAAAAAGATCAGTTGTATCTCCCTACGCAAATTTTCTACTTGAGATGCAACCAGAAAAATACTTTTCAAAAAGGGCTATGCATGTGAGCATCCCCATATTTGCAAATCTGTAGCTATGCTATAGCTTTTAGAAGATGCAGTTACTATAAGGCAATCCAGTGTAACTCAGTCAGTGCACAGACTTTGGAAAGTAAACTGCAAATGGGACACAGTACTTTGCGGAAGAAAGTCTCCATTTGCTGACTGGTTTGTCACACTGCTTACCCAGTAAGGCATGCCACATTACAGCTGAGAAAGCAGCTTCAGATGAGTCCCTCTTTTAGTCACAGATAAAAAATAATTCCAGTCTTAAAGGTATCGCTTATTAAGATGTATATGGCTCTGTTTTGCCTTCCCAGTGTTTACCATACCAACTGCATTGCATATCCCCCTCACAGACCAGCCTGCCAGAAACAGATTTCTCTTTGTCACAAAATATTTTTTCAAGGCTTCAATTGCTTACTGAAGTTTATGAAAAACCCTCAGGATTTCAGTAGAGTAGGACCACAATCCTGATCATGGCAATGCTAAAGGCAAAGCTGTTCTCATTAAATGGATAAGCAGAATGTATTAAATATTACAATGAAACTATATCCCTGCCAATTAAGGTTACAGCCAGCTTTAATTTAAAATCCAAATTTAATTTGCCCTATCCTAACTTTGGCTAGAAAGTTATTATGTCCCAAAAACATGGATTTTATACTGAAAGTGAAGAAAAATATTTTGCAGTTTCACAGTCAGTTATTAGTTTGAGCTTGGCAAATATTACAGCTATTCCAAACTACAACATCTGCTTTTAACTACACATATATTTGGTCCTATGAGATCAAAAATACCTTGCAACAACATGTACAAATCAGAGGGTTAAATCTGCTTTGGAAAAACATAAAAAATAACTGAGGAAAATAAACTGTGTTACATTTTTACTACATCTAGGTCTGATCTGCCTCTTTCTGTTCAGAAACTGTTTGAGAACACAGCATAATTAGCTGATTAAAATTCTCAGCTTGACAAAGAAAAAGCAGAGTCTGACTACTGAAAGAGACAGTAGGAAGGACGTGATGCAAAAGCAGTCACTGCAGTTTCTTACAAGCCACTATCTCTGTTTTGGCCTTCAAGAGATTCAGTAAGCATACTAACCACAAGCTCTGTATCTGTTTTTTTGCATACTCTTCTCCTAGGCTCCTGAATTTTATTTTATTAATTTTAGAACATAGATTACTAATATGCTTTACAGCTGACCTATACAGGATAACTTGAAATAGCTTCCTACTGGAATGAGACTCATCCTTGTCAAGTGAATAGTTTGAACAAACAGTTACCAAGTGAATGCTTTACACAAGTAATCCTACACGAATTTCTATATACTGAAAAGGTAACATTAAAAATATGCTGCAACCAGGTTCTTAAAAGTTACAAATGTCTGGCTCTGCAACAAATGTCGAAAACAATGGGAAAAGCACAGGAACTTACACATAGAATCCATTAGATTTGTCTATAATATCATAAATCATTTGTGATTTGATTAAACTAAGTTTATCCATAGCTGCAGCTCCACCGTTATTCTTTATCCATTCCAGTACCAGTCCCATGATATAAATACTACAAAAGGAAAGAACAATTTTCAGTCAGATTACTAAATAACAAAAAAAGACAAAAAACCACCAAAAAAACACCCCTAAATAAAAACCCCACAAAAATCACAGTCCTGTTTATTAGTTCACAAACTGTTTCAGTAACAAAACCATATATTTGGTTTTAGAGTGCTTAACAACCCAGAGTCTGAAGTATTTTAGAAATAATGACAATTTCAAGCAGGCAGTATTTTTTGAACACAGATAAAGAAATTCAAATGCTACACAAATCTGTTGTACCAAACCTCCTCCTTGGCACCACAGATGGACAAGTCCTGCAGGTTTCCTGCAGCCCTGATAGGCTCCCCAGGACATCCCCAGACATGCTGCAGTGACTGCCAGTTCATTGACCACACAACTGTCTGTCAAGTCCTAGAAAGAGCCAGAGGTAGTGCAAAAGCGAGTAGCATCCACCCTGCATGGCTACTATAGCAAAGATACAGCAGTGAACCTCAAATGTATGTACACTAATAATACCAGAAATCTAATCGTATTTTCAAACATCGAAAATAAAAATTATAATCCCATGTCTAAAAAGACTTTTTGCCCACATGAACAGTGAAGTTTGGTGAAACAAATAATGATATACCACACTTGATTATTCATTACCATTCAAGTTCTAAGTAGAGATCTGGAAGCCTCCTGGCACCAGATGCCTTGGGTGTATTTAGTGTTTCAATGCTAGTTAATAAGTGCCACATAAAAAATTCCCCGAGGCCTTTTGCCCTTGTGCTTTAGCTACAAAACTCAGCTTGTTCAAGGCTAGGCATTTCCCACAACTACAACACTTCACATTAAACAAAAACGTTCACAAGTTTTTATGGCATATCCCCAAGTTTGCTTTTATTAATCCCTTCATTACAGATTCCAAGGGAGTGCTCAGAGAACATTACCTTACACATTTCCCTACACAAACATAGCAGGAGGCTACTTGAAACTTTGCTACTTTTATTTCTATGGGGATGCCAGCATCAAATCTTTGAACACTGCAGAAAGACTGCAGATTGACTTTTACACAAAGCACCTTATGGCTTTAAGAGCAGAATCCTGATACATTTATGACAGCACACTATCAACTACCCCAGTGTAAAAGATTTAAGTGAAGCCTATGCCCTTGCCAAAAACAGAGGGCTACATTCACCTCTTGCCCTCACATCCTTCAGTGAAACTTCTTGGGTATGTAAAGTTTAAAGAAGTCAGCCTTAGAGTCATCCACAAAACCCAGCCAGCTGAAATCTTTTATCCTTCTTTCATGTCAAAGTAATGTTTCTGGAGCAATTTTAAATGCAAAATGCATTCTGGAGCTTGGAAATGAGATTTTTATAGCAAATCTATTGTTAATTTTAGCAAAGCAGATTAGGGTCAAAGAGTCAAGCTCTATAGTGCAAAGAGTTTAAAGCCATTAGCATCACCTTAATTTAATTTTACTTAACATCCTGCTGAAGTAGCTTTTGCGAATTCAGTTAATATTTCCTGCCTGTTTGCCAGCAGGCCATTAGAGAGTGCAAGGAAAAGAGCTGAGGAAAGAAAGAACTGAGAAGCTTTGCCAGTTTCTTGCAGGAACTGGAACAGGCATTTAGAGCCAAGCCAAACAGATGTGCACCCTGCCAACATTTCAGTCTGTGTTACATTCTGGATCCTGGAGTGTACTCCGATGTGGGTCTGCAGCATGGAGTGAAATCTGGCAAGGCAGTGACATGAAAGGAGAAAAACTGCTAGTTCAACTTTATTTTCAGTCTCCCTCCATCTCACTAACTTATTGATGTTACTGACACATACTGAGTTACATCTAAAGCAGCACTTTCTTCTCAGAAGTTCTTTGCAGGGGCTACAATAAAGCTGCAGAATTTAACTTGGATTGCTTCCCAAACTGTGTTGCTCCCCTCTGATCTAAATGCTGAGAGTAAGTAGAACCTTTCAAATGGAAATAGTTTTGTACTTGGAGAACATGAATGGCTGTGCAAGTACACAGTGTCCAAATCAGAACACTGGACTTGGCAGTCAGGAAAATAATCAATCATGGAATATAGGCTTTTCAATCACTGGGAAAAGAGACACACAGCCCACGTTCAAGCAACATTCAGAAAAACTACAAAAAATCTGGAAACATTTAAGGTAAATTCTTGTCTTAACAGCAGCCCTAAGGGACACTGTGCGCACCCAGCTGATAAGGGCAGACATGGTGCCAGCCAGAGTATGTCATTCCAGCACTATATACTCTACAGTATGCATACTGCTTGGGAAAACTAGTTGTGCATTGTAAAATCTGGGGTAAATATATGCTTATGAGATTTACTGTTCTGATAAATTAAGATAACTGCCTCTGTTACTTAGGTAGTAAGAATCAGCAGATTCAGAAATACAATTAGTATCACTTAAAATTGTACTGACTTTAAGTAAGTAGTGGCATTAAGGTAGGCTTTATACACATGAATCACTCTACTTTATGCCTATACAGTGCATTTATTATCTGTTGGACATCATTAGGCAACTTAACTTTAACGAGTTCTACTTTTAAAGATTTATTTTTTATTCAAATAATTTGATAATGCAGTCTGACATAAATTTTTAATCTTGACTTCTTCACACATGCCAGAATTTTGAAGTAATTTATAGAACTTCAGGGAGGGAAGGGGAGGAGGGAGGGAGGAAGGGGAGGAAAACCTGAAGATTTGTTTTTTAAAAATATTTGTTCTAGCGAACACTGGTATAAAAATGCTCCAGATTAAGAACGAATAGAAACTACTGGTCAACACCTAAACACTCCAGTAGCAAAACATCATTTCACTAGTTAACATAAGGTAGGAGACAGTAATATTAAAAGAGCAACCTGCAGTCTGTTCTGCTTCTTGCATACATTAAATTACCAGGTAAATGCCAATTTTATGATCTTGATTGCTAGCAATGATTATGAAGCTAGACCAGTTTAATTTCTGGATGCCAAGTCAAAGACTGAAGTGAGTAGAAAAGAAATAAGGAAAGTTGTACTAGAGACTAAAACACAGCAATGACTAAATTACCTTTAAAAAAACCCAAACAAATAAACAAAAAAACACCAAAACCACACACAAACAAAAAAAAACCCACAACCTTTTGCTGTTTCATTTCAAAGCCAACAGTAGTAAATGGTGTAGCTAGAAGACATATTTTTAAAAAACAGCATTTGCTATTATTTACAGCAGAGATAGGGATCTGGAGGTTCAACGGCTGAGAAAAACCTCAGGAAAAAATTAAATCAAAACTGTACTGAGTGTTCAAGAAGCAAGACTAAATACCAAATTACCTATTTGCAAATGACAGAAGCACCACCACTGAACTGACAAGAGTTCTTAAAAGGCAAAATTGGATCCTGAAACTTTCATAATATTTACTTCTAAAAATACTATGTCCTTTATGGCTGAGTCCTACTAGGCTACCTCAAAGACCGCTACGGTCATGTAGCTGGACACTTCCCATGTTCCCACAGGGTTCCCATGAAACACACCAACGAATCAATGACTTGAAGGCAAATACTAAGCTTGTGAAACTTTTCTCAATAAGAGCAGCAGATGGCAGTGCAGCTACTTTCCCGGCAGGAGATGTTAAATAGCAGGGCAAGTTACCTGTAGCACGGTGGAGTGTTATACAAAGAGCCGTTCACTGCTTGCGTTTTGTAATCCAGCACTATAGGGCATTCTTTCAGTGCAAATCCCAGTAAGTCCTCACGTACTATTACAACAGTAACTCCAGCGCAGCCAACATTCTTCTGAGCACCAGCAAAAATCACTCCAAACTAACAGAAGAAAAGGACTTGTTACATGCATATGTATGATCTCATAACTGATTAATATTCCAGTATCATTATACAATAGGGTACAAGTCAGCATAACAGCTTGGAGAACATGTTGAAAATATGAAAGTTGTAAGTCAAAGAAGAGTTAGAAGTTCTGATTTCAAAGTGCAGTTACAGCTACAGTTGTTATCCCATATACGTCTACTATTAGAGCCATCTACCTTCTTTCAACTGAGGAACAATAAATTTCCCAAAGATTTGCTAAATGTTTATTTAGTAGCCACAAATAATTCGCAAGGCAGCCTGTCCCAATTTCACTGTACTCCAAGCAAATTTACTAAAACAAATTCATACAGAAATCACAATATTTTCAACTGATTTGGTATTTCAGAGGATCATATAATCTACCTGTTCAAAAAAGGCAGATGAGGAAAGCCCAAGATGAATGCACTAACAATTCTTTTTGCTATACACAGGTAAAAAAGGTAAAACATGATACCTCAGTGGTCAGTAACAATTCTCACTGCTAACACACTTTACAAACGTAAGCAAGCAAGTACTGTGTTCTGTCTCTGTATTGTCTATAAAACAGACACAACAGTTGTGAGGCATAGGAAGCTTTATCAGCTTAAAAGGGGTTACAGATTTTCCATGTAAGAGGCATGATCAAAAACATGATTCACAGTACCTTGCTATAGCCATACATACTATCTACAGACTAAACACGATTCAGAAGATACCTTTTTCAGCTACAGCATCAGTGAAGACCATAAAGCAGACAAACTTGGACAGCTACTAACATGAACTATTTCAACATAGTTCAATCTGGTTTTACCAGAAAAAAGGAAAAAAAAAATAAAATAAAATAAAAAAAATAGAACAGGCAGACACTGAAATCTGAAACTTTAAATTTTAAATTTCAAAATCTTTTATTCACCATCAGATACAAAAAATCAACAAAACACAGTGTTCTGTATCACACTGCTCAGCATCTCCAGCTTCTCAGACATTTCAAACTATCGAATTATATGCATTTAAGTTTGAAAATGCTTTATGCAGCCACTGTGTCCAACATGTACCTTGGAAACATCCACAGGTCTGGACAGGAAGTTTGATGACATATCACAAACCAAGACCGCTCCTTTGACATCAGGTACAAAGTCAAACTCCACACCATGAACAGTCTCATTAGCACAGTAATAAACATAAGATGCATCTGGATTAAGATTCCAAGTGCTTGGGTCAGGAATGTCTGAGACAGACAAAAAAAGAAAACCAAAGGTCACTGGAGATAAGGAATTTTCCTGTTCAACTAAAATGCAGACTTAAGTGCAAACCTACAACGATTCTGCAGTATAAAGCATTCATTATCTTGTTATTAGGAAAATATAATTTATCTGCAAATGAAATACATCAGTGCATTCTCAAAATTCTGTGATGAGCCACCATTAAGCTTGCAAACACCCTTCAGTTATCAGCCTGAAAATTATCAGCCCTTATTCCTCAAGGGATTTTAATCAGGTTTGCAATCCCAGACTGAAAACTACTGCCATGGGGTACAAAACAGCATTTCAGAGAATTGAGGCACTGGATCCAAGAATCCTCCAGATTCTCACTGGCAAAGTTCTTCAAAGCTGCATTTCTCAGGATCCCCAGAAGCATTTCAGTCTTGCCCAAACTGAACATAAGTTTATCTGCCTACCTCCCATTTAAGCTTTGCAACTGATTTGCAAAACTAGTATTTCCTCTGTCAACAGGCAAAACACAGGCATGCCCTGACAGCACAGAACAGGTTTTGCATAGAACAAATGGTTGCTCTGTCTTTCTTCTCTCCTCCAAAACACATGGGGAAGAAGTGCTGTTACGGCCTCCATCATTACTTACTACCTCTCCCATTATCTACAGCTGCCAAATGGTGGATACACTCCCTCGACTGGAAAACTGTAAGTTGAATTCCTTCCTGTGCCTCAAAGGGTATAAACTGATCTTCCAAGTTTGTGCCCTAATCACCTGTTAATATACTAACTCATATGTGGATATTCTTTGCCTTTCCTGTTGCCACTCTCAAAAATTCAAATGCTATCATTTGCACCAAAACTAAGACAAGTGAGCAGGACTAGAAACCAGAATTCAGGTATCCCTACCCCAAGAATTATTTATGTATATACAAATTATACACTTAAGTTCTTCACACAGACTGTCTCATAAAAATGCCTAATGCCTCAATTACAGTAAACCTTTTTCTTCCTTCTACACTGTGTTCATTCAGATTATGTTATGTCCAGTAATAAGGTTCCAGAGGGAGAGCTGAAATGCCTTTTCTATTTCAGAGCTAACTGCCTGCTATGACACATGGGAAAGATAAGTATTTGGGAACCCCTGAAAGTAGGCAACAGAATGCAGATCTCCGATCTCCTGGGGCAACAAGGTTAAGATACCAAACATGCTTCTGAATTTCACAGCAATCTCATTGAGGGTACTTGAAACTGAAATACTTTGCAATATCCCTGCAAATAGCTTAAGAACTCAAGTAAAAAAAAAAACAAAACCAAACAAAAAATAAAAAATCAGACATCCCAGATCATTTCCCTACTAATACACGTTTGCTTCTTGCAGCTTATTTTCTGCAATCTGATCAGCCTAGTTTCACAATTCTCTTTTGGTGGAGAAGGTTAAGACGTCTAACATCTCCCAGTGATGAACATGGGGAGATGTGGCAGGCAATCTTTTGAGTGCTGGACAGTCAACTCTACCTAGTTAACACTGAATAACCTAATAGCTGAGTTGGACCATTTTTTAGACTGATTCAAAAAGCAAAGCATTCGTATGAACAGATGGTAGTCCTCAACTTACTTGTATAGGCTCCTAGTTTTGGATGAACGATATTCACTTTGGCATACTTCTCTGCTTCTTTAGCTGCTTTTGCTGACCAAGCTCCAGTAATCACATAATCTGCATGTCTTCCCTCCTTTAAACCAATAAGGTTAAGTGGGACTGCACTGAACTGAGCAGATCCACCTCCTTGGAGGAAAAGGACTTTGTAGTTTTCTGGTACATTTCTGCATGCAAGAAATAACCATCTATTATTATTCCCAGAAGACACAGAATGCATACTACTTGATATTATGCATTTACAGCATACAGCAACAGAGGAAAAACACTGTCAGAAGACTCTGCCAAATCCCATTAACTTACTTCAGCACTGGTCTTCACTAACAACTTAAGTATTAAGAGTAATGCTATATATTCTACTGCAAAAATTTGACGAAAACAAGCTTTTCAACCCCCTTGGATATCAGCAAATAAATTCACTCCTGAGTAGCTTTACTATCATAGTACACACAAGCTTAGAAGATAGTCCAGTAGAATTAATGCTCACTTGTAATTTTGTCTACTGCTTGCTTCATGGCTTTTCTGTCAGGCCACGAACTTCACAACAAAGTGCTCACAGTAGAACTCAGCTTTGAGGCCCTTCAGTCGGAAATGCAACTGTATAGTAAACTGCGCATGTAGAGCAAGTGCCATAAGGAATTGTCCATACAGTAACAAAAATTACTTGTTCAAACTATTCATTGAAACCCCTCTGCCAATAATTCTGCCTGCGATTGACAGTCAAGCTTTTATAAGCAATGACTAACATTGTAAGCTACTGTGACAACACTAATTCTAATATACAATATAATTATTTCAAACTTTGAAAAACGTGTCACACTACAAATAGGAAAAGGGCTCCTGCTCAAGAATTCTAAAATATGTAACATACAGATCACCTCTATACCACTAGAGAACTGATTTCCATTGTTTCCACTTATCTCTTGAAGAAAGTTCATACCCTTCATTAATTCTATGAAGGTGACAAAAAATAAGGTTTCATAAGAAAGGCAACTAATCAGTATGTCGTAGACATATAAAAAGCGTCTCAACCTAATAAAAGCCCTTAATCAAAACCAAATAAATCAGCATCAGACAAACAGAAGACCAGTGTCCTCCCTAAGATTAATACTCTGTCAGACACAGTATCTAAAACAAAAGGCAATCCACTCCCCATAAACAAGTGCTTTCAAGGAAGGGTCTCCACAGCCTCCACATTAGTCATTACTGGTGCAACTAACAAAAAATAAGTAGGAAGTAACTGACTTACAGCAATTCGCGCATGAGATTTTCAGCTGTATTTAAAATTTTTGTGAAGTCTGAGGTTCGATGGCTCATTTCTTTGGTGGAAAGAAGAAATAACATGAAACGAAATGGTAATACATCAATGTTATTTTAAAATTACGTTAAGGTTTAAAACTTTTACTCTATAGACCTAAAATGCCTGTGAGTCCCATTCCCAGTTTCAAGTCATGCCATTTTTATTGCTGAGCCTTCCTAAATACTTAAACAAGATTTATACCTCCAGTCTTGTCCAAACCCAGTCCATTCACATTTGGCATCCACATGACCTTACTACCCCCAAGAACAACTACATTTGTGTGAAAAAAAGGCGTAAGTTTTTCTCACTCTAACAATTTTCTCTGCTAGTTATGCTGCAGCAAGTATAGAGTAAGGTGTAGTGGTTTGGTTTGGTTTGTTCTTTTATTTTTTGCAAGGCTTCTTAATGCTGTAATCCTAATATTAAGCACACTTAGGGTTAACTAACACTAATTATTTTTATTATATTCATATGCTTCCTTCCCTCAGTAAGAGCATACAATTTAAACATGAATACAAATCCTGCAGACTAGTGCACATTCTACTTCTAGCAAACAAACAGTTTCACAGAACTAGTAAAATGCTGACCATCTTCTTGCATAAAGTTATGTGCAACTGGAGCTGAAAAGCCAGTCAGCTACAATATGGTGTAGAAGACCACCTCCTCCTTAGGACAGCATTGCCTTCCTAATGGGAAGGATGCTACCCGTCAGGTGTATCTGAAGTGTTCTGCCACACGGTATATAAGATCCCATATATGCTATCTATATATATGGGAATGGGTTACCCAGGGAAGTTGTGAATGCTTCATCGCCTGCAGTGTTCAAGGCCAGGTTGGACAGAGCCTTGGGTGACATGGTTTAGTGGGAGGTATCCCTGCCCATGGCGGGGGGGTGGTGGAACTTCATGATCTTAAGGTCCTTTCCAACCCTAACTATTCTGTGATTCTATATACACACATATAGCATTTGTATATCTGTGGATAATGTGTATACACATATAGTATTTTCTAGATACATATTTTTTATATATATTACCTATATATGAATACACTCCCACACCCCTGCCCAGTGGTCCAAAAGTACTAATGTTCTCAATATGATTAAGTTTTGTTTTGTCTCTAATCCTTTCTATGTATCACTAAACATCTGGCTATGTACCACTTCATGGTCTGATGAATGGTAGAAAAGCAGTGTGAAAAAATATTCCGTGAACATACAGAGTAGCAGAGTAAGTCACTAGTAACGAAAAGGAGTTTAAATACCAAGACGAAAAAGTTTTATTAGACAATTTGTCAAACGTCTAAATTAAAAAAAAAATCAAAATCTACATTTTTCAGGCTTACCAAGAACACTTATACCAAGTCCTTTGTAGTCCACCAATTCTTTCTGTGCTTCTAGTAATACCTAACAAAGCAAAAAAATCCACAAATAAATTAAGGGAACTTTCCACTATCTGGAGACACTGGTGCATCATGCATATTCCAGCTGCTCCATACTGCAGTAACCTGACACTTAAGTGAGATTAACAGAAGTATGGTCACCAATATCATTTTGTTGTGGAAGGCTTTTCATGAAATAGCATAATTAAGTCAAATGCTTGTTGTGGAGACTGTGTTTTAACTTACTATTTCAATAGCCATATTTCCAGATTTCAGGATGATTTCTAGGAGTTAGGTATAACTCCCAGCCTCTTACAGAACACTTAATGCTTCCATGCATACTCTTTCTAAGCAAGCATCTTAAATGCCCACCCCTCCACCCTGTGTCTTTCACTAGACTTGTGCAAATAGGACAACCAAGGAGGAAAGCATAAACGAAATCAATCATCATGGGGAACTGGATACCTCAAACTGACACAACAGGACAAGAATGAAGCCCCATACTTTTTGAGGATGAGCCTTCTCTATGCCACTAAAAGTTAACCAAGAAATCAAGCGAAGTTTTGAGACAACCACAAGACAGAGGACACTCATAAATGCCCTAGCCAGGTAATCTGCTGCTTCAGCCCTCTGTTGTTTTTTCTTCTCCCACAGCTCTTGAGTATCAACAAAGTGGAATTACATTCTACCCATTAGATCTGCAGCTTCCAATTTCAGCAAGCTCCTGCGCGACAGTCAGAACACTCTTAGCAGTAGAGGAGGGAGCCCCAGTAGAAAAGCCACCAAAACAAGCACTGTGTGCATGCACCTCAGGATCTACCAAGAAGCCACAGAAGTGCTCCAAAGAGTTTCAGGAACAAGAGATCTACCTTGCTGACAGGGTATCTGCATGGCCTATCAACTGTAACAGCTGATCACCAAGACGTCAACCAGAAACAACTATGCTGCTTTTCATGTTAAGAGATTGTGAAGTTTTAACCACCACGTTTCACATGCAAGTGCATTCATGTCAGAGGAGGAAAAAAAAAAGTCAAAGGGGGCACACAGATTATTAGAAGAAAGTGCTTATTGAACTGCTTGATAAAATCCAATTCTGTTAGCAATGTTCTTTGGCACGTGTTGCGAAAGACGTTTATGGTATGCCTTGTAACAGCCACAAAGAGCTCTGTCCACCTTCTTCAGCGAGTTCGAGCACTTAAGCCCAGATCAAAGTGAAATAATCAAGGTGACACAGGAGTCCATGTAAGATTACTGAGTTTTCCAGAGGGAAAACCAGATTAATACTAGGGAGCAGATTAATACTAGGGAGCCAGCTGTGGTCTCCTCCAACCCTCAGTCCAGCTTTGAGCACTCTGTGGCAGCCAGCTGGATACTGCAGCAGTTCTTCAAAGAGCTCTTTTGAAACCAAAGTTTCAAGACAGAACAACAGGTTTCTTTTCAGCATAACCTACAAAGGACATTCCCAGGAGAATGAGAAGAGAGCAAAACCAAACAAAATAACAACAACAAAAAAAAAAAAAAGCGCTGCTGCACAGCATATTTTTTTCACCTAAATAAAATTGTTAAAAAAAAAACACATAAAATAAGGAAGAAAACTATGAAGGAAATTAAGAAACCAAGGAAAGATCTCTACAATCTGTAACTCTTAAGTTGAAAATCAGATGCACAGTTTCACAGAAGCCACCCTCTCTCCATGTGTGACTGGATGGATAATCCATAGCTGCTGATGCAACTTTCCCGAGGGTTGAGCCTACACTGCACTCATTAACATTTGTTAAACAAAGACTTCTCGGGGAATTACCATGTTGTTTATCAGCTGACAAGTAACACTCAACACAGCTACCCTCGCACATCCGAAGATTTACTTCTCATGCAGAAGCTGATATAGCCCTTCCTCGACAACCATATGATCAGATTCACAAAAATCTCGGGGCGAGCAATCCTAAACCTACATTAGGGAGAATTTCCAAAAAACCCACCTAACAAGGCATTCAACTGGGTAGGAAGGGAGAGAAGAAACCAAGTTTCGCCGCAATTCAGGCAATTCTGTTTTATCACGACTCCTTGGAGCCTCCCCAGCCCTCACTGTGCACCCGGCGCCCGCGGAAGCCTCCGGGGAGCCGGGTTGGGCCGGCCGGTAGGCACCGGCGGCTGTCCCGCCGCCTCACCCCGGCGAGAGCCCATTCAGCGCGTAGCTCCGGCAGGACACGTCCGGCCGGACGCCCACCACCGCCCCCCGCAGTGCGGAAAGGGCCCGGCCCCTACTCACAGAGCGCGGCAGTTTGGCCGGCCCGGCCCCGAAGTTTGCCACTTGCCGCCCGCTCTCCATGACGCGTCCCTCACCGCTGCTACCGCCGCCACCGCCCAGCAGCCGCCCCCGCGGCCCCGCCAGTATAAACCCCCTGCGACTGGCGCGCCGATTGGTTGCTGCCGCACACACCCAGGGGCAGGGCTCTCCCCGGCCGCCTATTGGCAGCGTGCTCAGGCCGCTGGGGCGGTGCGCGGGGCCACCCCCTCTTCTCGCCGCGGTCCCTGACCCGCGGCCGGGCTCCGTTCAACCCGAGAAGGCCGAAGGGGCCGGTTGCGGACAAGGGCTGAAAGGGAGGGGTTTAAATAAGCCTTATGCCTGGAAAGCCTCAGTGAACCTTGCCAGGGTTTCACTGGGTGGGTAGGTAGACAGATAAAGAGAATGCATGTCCTACAAGTAACTGCTCTGTTTTTCCCCCATGCAGTTGCTGCTGCTGCTGCATCGCTGGGACGCGTGTTCCAAAAGTGATGTGTCTGAATACGCAAGACGTTAAAACCAGCAGTCCATAGTTACAATGAATTTCGGGCGGTATTTCATCTTGAAAGAGGTGCCCAGAGAAACTGTGGCTGCCCTGTGTCAGGCAGTGTTCAAGGCCAGGATTCATGCGGCTTTGAGCAACCTGGTCTAGCGGAAGGTGTCCCTTCGGCAGAGGTTGGAACTAGATGATCTTTAAAGTCCCTTCCAACCCAAACCTATGATTCTATGAAATCCTTTCGTGGCAGAGGAGCAGGATCCCTACCTTCACTAATCCAAGAAGTACCTGCTTTTGTGCTCTCTTGCCCCAAACAGCCCATTGCCAGCAAACTGCTATTTTCATTTCATAGAAAGGGATTAAAAACAATAGAGGTGTGAAACTTAATGTCATATAACAGATAGCAGAGCTGGGATTTGCCTTGAGGTCTGCTAAATCCTAGGCTAATATCCCTAAATACTAAACCATTCTTTCCACAGATGCCTTGGTGTAAGTTCATTGAAAACACAGGGTTAATACAACTACTGCTGTAACTGAAATAAAGACTTTAGCTCATCCAATTCCTTCTAACTGTTCTAGTGAGAGACATACTGCCTTACAATCAGTTTTCAGAAGTTATTTTAAAGGCAGTAGCAGTAAATCACTTTTGACAAAACATTAAGTATGATTGAAAACAGATGTGTTTTACAGAGTCCCATAATTTTCAGCTACCTTGGATGAGATTCATGGTTCTCGTATGTAGCTGTATAAAGCACAGCCCTCAGACTCTTTGGTCTGCCCAGTGTAACCCGTAATGCTGGCCTGACTTTAGTCCCATGAATGTTCACCCAGTTATCATCAACATTAATAGTCTGTATATAAAATCTGCAATTTTTTTTAGAAATGAAAGGGTTTATGTGCATTACTTTGTGAATACTGAGATTTAGATAAAAGGTAATTTTTCAGTATTAATTATTCCACTGAAGAAATACTGTCTACTTGAATTTGTTCCTTTTCCTGTCAAGCAGGTCATACCTAGAATGATAAAAAGAATTTACAGTTTACAGCCTGATCTGGTCTCTAGTTAACAGACTTTCATCTTAATGCAAGTTTTATGATGTTTTTAAAGACTGTAAAGAGAGATAGTGGTTTTAGAGCAAAGATAACCTTCATTTCAGTAATGGCTTTAGCTTAAGAAAAACCTACCAAACTTGCTTTCAGACACCAGAAACTACCTCAGTTCTAAACAGGTAATAGCAAACTTCACATACATTACAGGCTCAATGCATTCTCTTCAAAACACTAAGGTATTTTCAAAGTATGTCTCAAGCCATAACACCCAGAATCATAGAATCATAGAATCATTAGGGTTGGAAAGGACCTTAAGATCATCTAGTTCCAACCCCCCTGCCATGGGCAGGGACACCTTTCATTCTAATCATTAGTCATAATTAAATAGAAGCGCCTATTAAAATGTTCACTAACAACACAGATGTAACTGTAATACAATTATTTCTACTCCAGTCTCAAAAACAGGGTTAAAACTCCTAGTATGGGCTTTTTCCAGTATTAAACCCAGACCACCTACATCTGACCAGAGGGGCACCTTTGAACTCCAGTCTGTTGGGGAAAGGTAGTAAGAGGCAGTGGAAACAGTCAGAAATAGTTTAGCTTGGTGATTCAGATCAGGCAGCCTGGCCTCTACTACAGGGAAGTGCTTCGACACGTCAGCAGGACTGGTCTTGAATCCTAACTGTGTGGCACAAACCACAAGGTAAATTAAAACTTGGGAATTAAAAGTGTAGCACAAAGAGCTAGAACACAAAACCACAAACCAGGCAAGCTAGTGCTAGTATAGGCTCACAGCACAAGGAGTAAATACCAGGTACTGCAGTTTCTTGGCTCAGGAAAATCCCATCCTGACCAGGAGTGAAAAATGACAGTTCCCATGAAAACAGAAGGCAACTGTGCTGGAAGCATGGCCACCCAGAGCATAGAAAATTCATTCCACATTCTCACTGATGGTAAGTAATTAAAATTGATAAGGATGTATAAACCATAAAGTTTCCTAAACAGAGAATAGTCCATTTTTACTACATGCAAGGGATTATTATCCTCCAACCCAAGTTGGAGAGAATGAAGAGGAATGGTAAAGGCCATGTCAGGGTACTGTTTCTATTGAGATTTCTCCTATTTTAATATTTTGCTGCCAGCAATTATGATTTAATTTTTTTTTTGTTATATTAAAAAAAATCAGAAATTCATTATGTCAGTATTCACAGTCACCCAGTATGGAATACAAGCTTTTGTAAACCAGGACTTCCGAGAATGCTTTGGGCTTCTAGCATTAGACAGAGTACCTGACCCTTCAAGTGCCACACATCTCTGCAGTTTAACATTAATTTGCATAATTAATACAAAAGAGGAGACTGCTGTATTTACTATGATGCAACTGGAAAAATAAAACACAACAAGCAAAAAAACCAGAGGAAGTGTAATATCTAAATAAAGTTTCTGAGTTTTCAGTGAACTTCCATGTGGCTCATCATGACTTCACATTATGCTTGACACAAAACCCATCATCAAGCACTGCTGGAACAGAACCAGCTCACTCAAGGAGAGCAAGTGCACATGAGTTATCTGTTCGGTACAAAAACCGACAAACTGACGTCACTATTAAAAGACAAATACTGCTGACTACATAGCAACCTGGCAGCTGTGTCAGTAGGCAGCTGGGATGTCTGGTCCAGCAAACTAGTGAGACCTGCAGATTTTAGCGGGATTTTAAACAGATGCAGGTAGTTCAGACAAGAGTTTGGGGGTTATTCTGTTTTTCAGAGATCTAGCTCCAAAACTGCAATTATGAAGTGTGAAAAGTAAGTTTCAGAAAGCCCAAATAAATGCAGAAAAAAAAATGCTTGCTTTTTTAAAGTAAACAGCAACATGTTCTCTAGCAAATCTGGCCTATTGATTTCAGGCTTTTTTTTGTCAAACAAGAACACAGACAAATGTGTAAAACATTCACTAATAGCAAGAGGTTGAAACAGTTTATATACAATCTCAGGGTTAAATGGTTTCATAGTAATTTAAAATGTATGTATTATACCCTATTTTTTTTTTTCTACTTTTTATTAAAATGCTTTAACATTGAAACTTCTGAGATATTGATAGCCTTAAAAAACTTTTCCGTAGGTGACTTACATTATCTCTATTGACTTCAAATTCCACATTCAACCATATATAAAGTATGCACTCCAGATTCTCACAGTAAGAGTGCGACACAACAGCACCAGTGATGACATGGTCAATTCTTCATGTCTCTTACTAAGATTTAAAAAGAAAAAAAAACAAACCAACAAACAAACATGGTTAAGTAAAAACAACTGAAAAAAAAACATGCCTATCTAAATTATATACTGCCTGGCCAATTTTGCTTTAAATTAAAATTTTTGACATTCATACTTGAAAAGCAAATACATACGTTATGTAGTATAACATAAAAGGTATTTATGCCACCTGCTTATGGACATACTATATAAAAACCAATTTAAGTTCTTTGTGGTATTTTTAGGGGCAAATAGCAGATTAGTAATTTCTAACCTCACAAATCCTAACACTTTTGAATTCATAATTTTATCTACCATTTCACAGTGACTAGCTTTAGAGTCTTAACTTTGAAAAAGGAACACACAGCATATTAATGCTGAAGAACCTGATTGCATGTAATTGTTCTAGGAAGTCAAATTCACAAGCAATGAATCATGACTGAAGCCCTCAAATGTTTGGGAGAATATCTAAAAAATTGCATAAATTAATGTATTACCTGCTATTATTCTGAAGTATCAAAGTCTGTATAAATAATGTACTTTCATGTGCAATTATTTGTGCAATATTGCAATAGCTAAGGCAATCTCATGCTATTTGCTCAGCAGAAATTTCTATTGGAGAATTCATTCATTTCTTCATACTTGTCAAGCTACTGGAGTCAGGTGTTTCTACAGATCAATCCGTTCTAGAACTCTCATGACAAGAGAAAGAAGAAAGTTATGCAGTATTCTTTCCCTGCCCCAGCTCACCACAAATCATCTTGCCTATTTCTTGCCTAGTTCCTCTACCTGAAAAATACCTTCCACTGCTCTATCACCCTCCGTCCCCTTCACAATGGAATGTGAAGGGGAATTCACAGGGGAATGTTCCCCCCTGCAAATGGAATACAAGATGCCAAGAAAAGTCCACACCAAACAAACTAAAATATTGTATTTCAAAATCTAAGCGAACACTGTAAAAATAGTGAAATAAAAGCAAAATATTAAATATTTTCTAAAAAGGCATCTGTTCATGACCACTGCACAATGTAATGAGTTTTCAACATCTGAATCCCTCATAAAGGTAAGCATTGCATGTCAGAGCTCACTACTGAAATCTCAGAGATTTACAAATCAGGACTGACACAACCACATGCCTGTGAAAAAAAAGTCATAGGTAAGTTATTTTAAGGAAGTAAGTTTGACTAGTTAGTTTGAAAACTGGAGAAGAAAAGGCTGTGTGGAGACCTCATAGCAGCCTTCCAGTATATGAAGGGGGGCTATAGGGATGCTGGGGATGGACTACTCATTAGGGACTG